CAATTTTTACGATCTAAAAATAAAGACTGATAATTAGTATTAAGGCAGATAACTATCATCCGTCTCATTTTAGAATCGATTCTTTTTTAGAGTTATCAGTCGTATTCTATTAATTTCAAATGTTAGATTTTTCTTTTTTATACCCAAAGATAGTGAGTAACTTCGAGAAAATGTGTACATTTTTTTGTTTTCAACTACTGGAATAAAGTGTGATGCTCAAGCGATGGGAAATCTTTTATTTTTCGGAAAGGTTTAATTGAATGAAAATGAATTTTTTCCAATAATTAGTATGTGAGAAGAGTAACTAACGGATACATTATTAATTACCCAATTAAGTCCGATACAAAAGAAAATACAACTTGTTCTTGGCATTGTAGTTTTACTTCTGACTTTAGCCTTCAGCATTTTATTTAAACAATGAAACAATATTTGAATATCGGAATTAAAGAATTTTATAAAAATGAAGGAAAATTTTCTATATTTTGAGCATGCAAGTCGTCAAACGCTATCTCAGTAGTTGAAAGACAAAAAACAAAAGTATCCCGTTTTTTTCAGCGCCTCCAGATACTGTAGAGGATAACAAACGAATAATAGTATATATTTACAAACAATAACAATTGTGTAACGAGAGGTTCCAAGTCAATTATACTAAATGTTAATGAATTTTTTTCCAGTTTTGTTTATATTCTTTCCAAAAGAGACAGAAATTTTTTCTGTACATTTTTTTTTATTAATGGGAAAGGTAACGTAGAATAAAAACAGGTAAGATAGTTAAATGTATCAATACTCAGTGTAAATTTACAGATTTTTAGTAATCTTTTTGAGAATAATGTATAGCAGTTCGATCAGTTTTAATAGATATGTCTGTTGTTTGACTAGAAATTTTTAATGTGTTTTTTTAACAGAATTGACCATGTTGTACGATTATCCATTCGGTAAACTTCATTATCTATTAGAGTCTATCATTCTATTATCAGAATTAAGATAGAAAAAAAATAAAAATAAAAGAAGAAAGAATAAAATTTCTTTCATGGCCATATATATCTATATATATATAGCGATACAGATCATTTTTCTGTTCTTATCTATCTTATATAGAACACAATGCCGACACAACCTTCATGAGTCGAAGTGATATTATAGTAACGCTCACAAACATAACATTGAATTCTTGTTTTAATAAGAAAAGACAAATTAAATATGAAACGTGTACCATGCTTTCTTTTCACAAGTTTATTCATATAAAAATTTTTATTTAAACGGATGGAATATTCGATTTTCTAAATCATTTTTTTTTTCCAGGTAAAAGATTATTCTTGCTTATAGAAGGTTATTTCACAGTTTGCCAAATTATCACAGAAATCGAAAAAGAACAAGAGAGAAAACTGAACTGTTTTCATTTATGTTCTATGTGTGTATGTACTCTTTATGTTAAAGATGAGAAAGTAGCAGCCGTCTACAAAAAATTTTCTCTCCTAATACCATAACAAAAGTGATAAATGTTATGATGAGAATAAAAGAGATAACCACAGACGGTATATTATGAGAACGGTGATCACACAATATAGACCACATGAGAACAACAAAGGAAACTTCGATAATAAAAAAAAAGAAAAGAATAGAACATGTGTGACGTATCCCATTTATTTTGGTATATTTCTTTGGGTCAACAATTATAATGATTCTAAAAAAAGTGATTGGATATTGGTATAATTTTTTTTTCCTCTTAAAATAAAGTGTTGGCAAAAATTATCCATACTGACTAATTTATCCAACTAATCTGTACAGATAAATATGGTACGAATAATTTTTTCAATCATTACGTGTATCATAACTATTATATAATATTCGAACTTGATGTACGTAACTATGTCAAAAATGCCATTAACAGTAAAGAAGTAATGTGTTTATTTATAAGCTTTCTTTTTCCGATATATGAAGCAGAAGAAAAAAAACATAGCTAACTAAATGAAATGAGATTTATAAAACATTAGTCTACTATAGTAGAGAGTATTTAGTCTATTAAAAACAACAAACATATTATTTGGAATGTTATCGCTGATGTATTTAAAATAGTGATTAGAGTATGTTAGATAATTAAAAGGAGGCATGTATCTTCATCTAAGGGATCTAGGAAACGTTGATTTTAGATGCAATATTTTTGCGAAGCGAATTATCGATGCTAGAGAGTCTTCATGTACATCCTTTTTATACTCTCTTTCAAATTTTCATCGTTGTGTGTCTCATTTTAAGAGTAAAACAAAGTTTCTACTGTGTATATTATCAATTATTTATTGTTTCTTTAGAAGTCCTGATCCAACATCGCCCCTATCATCACCATCTGAAGAAATTAGGGATACTAGTGTTCGTTATACAATTACATCAACAGTAAAACCACCAACACCCAGCTCACTTTCACCACAACAATTTCAGAAATATTCGTCCATTCAAACACCTACTAGTCCACCATCAACAGATTCGATAAAACGAAGTTTTTTTCGATTTAATTCAAGCTCATCATCTAACAGTGAATTGACGAATAAAATGGGACAATCAGGATCAAACGTAAAACGAAGTCAATCTGATGTACAAGCTTATTTGGATAAAGAAAAAGAAAAATTTATTGAAAAAATTGAAAATCCTATTAGACAAAATGCACGTTTTGAAGATTTTGACCGAATAAGAACAATTGGTACTGGATCATTTGGACGAGTAATATTAGTAACACATCGTGCAACAAATGAAAAATTAGCATTAAAAGTACTCGATAAACAAGTTGTAGTTAAAATGAAACAAGGTAAATCAACTACGATCACTAGCAATAATTATCACCTCTAGATTGTTCTAAATATTTAGTTGATCATACATTGTCAGAAAAACGTATATTACAAGCATTATCATGTCCATTTATTGTTAATCTGTTATATTCTTTCAAAGATAATTCTTATTTATATCTTGGATTAGAATATGCACCTGGTGGAGAAATGTTCACACATTTACGAGCTGTTGGACGTTATACAGAAGATATGACAAAATTTTATGCAGCACAAATAACATTAGCATTTGAATATTTGCATCATTTGGGCATAGTAAGTTATACCAATGCCTTTTCTTACATAGATACAATCATGAGACATATTATTTTTGTGATGGCATACATGATGGTATTGTTAATTACTTGTTAATTGTTTCTTTTATTCAATTTAGCTATATAGAGATTTGAAACCAGAAAATTTACTATTTGGAAATGATGGTTATTTGAAAATGACCGATTTTGGCTTTGCCAAGAGAGTCAAAGATCGTACTTGGACTTTATGTGGTACTCCGGAGTATCTTGCTCCTGAAATTATTCTGTCACGTGGCTATAATAAAGGTATATATATTATAATTCGGCTATATTGTTAAAGAATCAATTTTCTTTGATATTTTAGGAGTTGATTATTGGGCGTTGGTAAGCACTGATAAAATGTATTCACCACTTTTTGATTATCATTTTTTATATTTAATAGGGTGTGTTAATGTATGAAATGGCCGCCGGTTATCCACCATTTTTCGCTGATCAACCAATTCAAATATATGAAAAGATCGTCAGTGGGCGTGTCAGATTTCCTATCCATTTTACAGTTGATTTAAAAGATTTATTAAAAAATTTATTACAAGTTGATTTAACAAGGCGATATGGAAATTTGAAAAGTGGAGTAAAAGATATCAAAGAACATCGATGGTTTGTTTCGATGGATTTTATCGCTATATATGAAAAGAAAATTCAAGCACCACATATTCCAAGATCGGATCGTGAAAATTATGAAAATTACGATGAACAACCAATTAATGTGGCAACCCAAGAAAAATTTGCTAGAGAATTTGCTGATTTTTGATATATAGGTTAATGGCTTTTTGTTGTTCGACGATTTTATGACATGTTTAAGACCCTCCCGTCAAAAAATACTGATTTTTTCACGGAAAGTCAATATTGTGATAAATATTGGATAGCTCAGAGGATCTACGGTCAGAATTCATATTGTTTTCGATGATATCGAAACTTTTGGAGAACTCTTTTGAATACGCTTTCAATTTCTAACAACGTCGAAATTTATACAAATGGTTTTCGACGTTTTTCAGGTTGTTGAAGTAAACTAGTGCTGTCCTTGATAAAATAAAAAAAATGATTTGAGTAATCTAGAGTTTTTTTTTACATTATTCTCATACGTCTTCAGGATCATTGAAAATCAATCCGTATGCTCTTACAGAAGAATAGAAATCTTTCTAATTCGAAATGCCCTTCTTATTTTGACCCAATTTGAATAATATCTCCTGAATGATAAGTGATATAGCTTCGAAAGTTTTAAAGTGAACACAAAAAAAATCTTTTTTTTTCTTTCTTTGCTTTCCATTTACACCTCATGTATAAATTTTTTGAGAAGTTTTCTTGGAATGGACATTTTGTTTAGTTCTATCCATGTTGACAGATTTTCTTTTAGCCAGTATTCTTTATGTATTATTTCTCTACCCTGTTATATATGTTTTATTTTTTTATATAAAACGTTGTTAATACCTCGACTGTCTTTGTTTTTAAAAACACATGTTATTTCCTCAAACATTTGTTTCAAACTTTTTTAATCTATTTTAACCACATTCAAAAGGGTGGTAGGTATAAAATATTCTGTTTTAACATTTCATTTAACTATTTTTCTACTAAACTATTTCCTTGGACATACAGCATTAATCTTAAATTTTTTTGTTCTCTTAGCAATATATCCATCTGTATGACTCTCGCATAAAATTTGAGCTTTAGACAGCAGACTACAAGTGATTAAAGCACAAAAATTTACTTTAACACTGAAATGACTGTTTGAAGAACTTGATAGCATGAACATTAAAAAACAACAACTTTTAATTCATCAAACAACAATAATTATATTGATTCATATACATTTTACTATGAACAATAATTCCTATACGAATTTTGAACGAACAGACTGTGTACACACAACTATTTGTCATTCTTCTGTTGGTTGTTTTTTCTGAGGAGAAAAAACGTTAGATATGGTGGTTTGTGGTTTTGGAGAATATATAGAATTTGTTATTGACAAATTCTGGAAGGCAGCAGTATATGCAGCATTAAATAATAAACGTTGATGCCATGGTGAAAGTAATAACGGATTATTTTTAAATGTATTAGTTACATCTAGAGTGACTATTGGTATTTGTTGTTGTTGCGTTAATTGATTCATAAAGATCTGTTGTACAGTTGGATTATTTTTTGATTTATTAAACGATAAGGGAACATGTACATTTGGATTTGATTGTTGCAGTGACAGTAGTGGTTGAGAGGTTTTATCTTGTTGTTGATAGTGTTTGTACTGTTGTTGAGATTTAACGGTGGAAATTGGACACTCATACGTTTTTTGAATATCCTCTTGTACACACTCCCCACTTGTCTTGTCAATTGACACATATTTATTTGTTTTTAAAGAAATTTCAAGAGGATATGTTAGATCTTGACGATTATCCGTTACATTAATAACCCTTTGCGAGAGAAAATATAAATAATTAGAAGTGTCATTCAAATACAGCTGTAGTCTTATTCTTATTTCTTTTGAATTCTTTTTGATATATTGTACATGGAGACAAATCAAAAACATTAACTAACACAAATAGAATCTCGATTAATTTTACTAGCACCTAGAGAAGTATAAGTGTCCACTGTCCTGGAGCAGTAAAAGTGTCCAAGGAGAAACGATTTTGGATTATAAATATTCTCAGCATAAGTCTGCAAACGACTCTTGAAGTAAAATCTAAAGAAATTGCATCATTTTTAGTCATTTTTGTGTTTACCGTGTCTCATAATCTTGTATTGTTTCACCATTAGCATCGTTAGAACCTGTTTGTGTTGTAATTGTTGAAAGAGCTGTCGGATTCATGAGATAATATCCATATGTATTCTCATGATAATAAGAATTGTCAAATGTTGATTCTTGTTGTTCAATAGTTTTTTCCGGTATAGTATTAATATCTGTTGGACGATTTACAATTGGATATTGATAATTATCAAAATAGACGGTTCCGTTATTTTCGTACGGATAGGAGTAAAATCGATTATTCGATACATTTGGGTAATAAAATTGTTGTCGATCAAGAATATTCGATGTTTCAATAGGATATGTAGTGGTTGCAGATGAATGATTAATATTCGCTTGAGTTTGGATTGTATTATGATAATTATTTGTTGATGTATTAAATGATGGGGGTGCATCAACATTTGAATGAACAGTTTGCTGATAAAATGGGGGAGCCATCGCTCTTAATGTTCGATTTGTTTGTATCACTTTCTCTTTACCCAATGATTTTTTACTATCGATTATTCTCGAATGGGTTAATGGCACAGAGACTAGATTCCAGTTTTTTAAATCACTAATCGGATGTTGTTCAATATTCTCATTGTTCGTGGTTGTACCATTGTACAATACTGAGTGAAATTGATAATTGTCACGGTATGGATAAAGCTGATGATTATCATCACGATTCTTGAACTGTTCACATTTTCAACAAAAACATAACAACTATCTTGTCAAAAATTCGTTTACTCAATAACTTACTCGTTTTTCATATTGATTATTGTCATAACAGAATCGTGTCGAATGATTTTCAAATTTTCTTCGATAATCATTGTAAACTCCATAACAGAAGGGTGGTGCTTGATTATAGGAAAATTTTCGTTGTTTTCGTGTAAAACATAACCATTTAGGTTCATCTAATTGATTCTTTGTTCGACGTTGGTTATCCTCATTAGCATTATCAAAGTTGTCCATCAGTTTTTGATTATTATTTTTCTCATTACTTCTTGTTTCCATTTTTTCAACATTAAGTTTTCGTCTAGATTGTTGTCTACGATTATATCTATCATAATTATACCAATAATCATTGTAAAAACTATTCGGTCGCAAATTATAGTTATATGGATAATAGCTACTAGGCTCATAATTATAATAAGAATCTGTAAAACATCTATTGACAAGCGGTTTTCGAAAATGACTAAGAGCTCTATTGTCCTTTGAATTTTTACTTTTACATGTTTTTTGTTCATCACTACCATCGCTTACGATTCCATCTTGTTTTTTATTTAGCAAACGTTTTGTTCGTCGACGATTTACCGGTGGTGATCGATTAATTTTTGTATCCGATGTTGTACCATCTTCCACGCTGCTATTTCTCGTATTGTCACTTGGTATCACTGATGAATGTGAATCATCATTATTTGAATTTGGATCGGATAGAACAGTGACTTTATTATTATTATCATTATCGCTTTCCGATGATATCCATAATTTCATTGCTCCTTCTTTTGGTTGTATTTGTTTCAAATTTAAATCCTCTTTTTTCTTCTTGTCTTCATTAACCACTTCTGACTCTTTTTTCTTATTATTATTATTAATTATATTCGGTTGTGATGATTTTGACACATTTCTCACAACTGGTATTGATGTTGTATCTTCATCACTTTGTTGATATTTTCGGCGTTCAGAAAACATTGATCGACAATTATACATATCCTTACGCTGATAGCAATAATAGTCATTAAAATTTCCACGTTTCACAAAATTTCGAAGTCTCCGAGAGTCTTGTAAGTTATTTTTATTACATGAAAAATGACTGAACGGTAAATAATCGTTATTAAAAAATTCGGTATGTCCGTAATATGGATTATTTGTTCGATAATCAAAGCTCTGCATTCTCGTTTTCCCCTAAGTTCTCTTCAGTACAACAAACATGCAAACGATACAATTTTTTATCTTCGACTAATTCAGCATATTCTTCAAACGTATACCAGTCACCATATTTTTCTGATTTTGGTTTCTAAGACATTTAGACAAACAAATTGACTTGAATGATGCATATTAAGTAAACACGCGCCTATTCTTTAGTTTTGTGCTATGATAAAATCGAATTAATAGCCACATATAAGGGTGAAAGGAGCTTATATAGCTAATTTCTGTTGAAAAAGGAATTTTATATGAAAAACAACATGGATAATCGTCATTTGTGTATTTTTAAAATACGCTAACACCCATTAGCACTCACTAACAGCCCTGGTTTGAAATCTGATACAGTCAGTAGGTAGAGGTCGTTGGTTATACTAACATCGATTAATATTCAGCTCAGTACTGACTAACGGTCACCAACACTCAAAACGGCATCAGTATCTCTCTAACTTTATAATTTCATAAATATAAATGTAATCCAACATTGAGAGACGAGTAGCGTGCAGCTCGTGTCATTTTTGGGTGTTATTGATTAGGTTTTGGCTATTAGTACTCCGTTATTCAGTACTATTACCTTATGTTAGTATAACCCTAAAAGAAATAACAACCCAACTCAGAGTATAATATCATCCTTTGCATCGTTTTTCGGACAGGCACTGCATTGCAACACAAGCATCACAGTTAAAAGGTTTGTGATCATCAACACAGATTAAAATTGTCATCATGCAGCCTTTCTTTCTCTTCCTTCACTTCATTTTTCTCTTATGGAAGAGGGTAACACCTTGTAAAATAGCTCCTCGAACTATGTAATGGCAATTTGCCGCTTTAGTTAGAGGGTTATTAGGATTTCTTCATCTTTAAAATAAATATAGTTTAAACCAAATTGTCATCAGTTGCAATTAATAAACCAATGCGATTCATTCATACTGTCTAACAATTCTGATATCAAATCCTAGGGCAATGATCGGTCTGGTATTTCACAAAAATTTTGTTCATTTGTTAAAGTTGATGAATGATAGCATGATGGCAGCTCTAGAAAAGCCTATCTTTCATATATCTTTCGTTGCTCTCAATATCTAATGAAACGCGAAAATGACTAAACTGAGGTTCAATACCATTTTTCCAAATCTTGAAATAATGTTTCTATTCTTAGAGGTGGTCTGAGCGGATGGAGGTCTCAGATCAGCTTTGCCTATTCTACTTTATTTGAAAGCTTTCTGAAAGATTTGTAATATACCGTACAGTGCAAAGGCGACTATGATGTTTTGACCACAAAACGGGATATATGTAGGTTTGTAGAGGAAGATTTCCGCTATCTAGTGGTGTATATATTATCAAATTCCGTTGCATACGTGAGAGAAAATTAAAGGTAACCCCTCCTTTTTTAGACTCTTTTAGAAATTTTTTTTATTTTTGAGTTAAATGTTCTGCATTATAGAGTAAAGTGTCATCTACAAACTAAGACCGCTTCCAGCTTTCCAAGACCTTCCGTTGAGGAGATAGAAATTTTTTAAAGTTTGTTACTTTACGCTGAAAAAAACCTACTTTTTTACTTGCGAAACGTTTTTCTCTTCCATTCAGTAGTTGATAAACTTTTGAAACAGTCAGGCTTATAAAGTAAAGGTTTCTC